TGATAGCTTGGTTGTAGATCCGTGTGTTGACGTGGGAAACTTGTCTGAAATCTGTTTGGCTCACCTCTGTTTTCGTTCCTCAGTGAAAGAGAATATATAAAGTGGAATAGTGAATGATCAATGACGGAAATGTTCTTTTCTTATTTCGGGAATATTTTCGGTCATTTTTATTTTAACTGTCCACGTTTCTCTCTGCTGAGTTTGTAGTTTTGGTTTTCATGGCCTGGGGACGGATGTGTATGCTATGTGAAGATTGATCCGCCAGTTCTTTGAACTCACTTTTGCTGTAGTTCTTAGTGAAAGAGAAAAGTAGTGATTGAAATTAATCGTATTACTAAAAAAAATTCTGGTGCCTGGGGATCTATATGTAGTCATTGAGTGATATCTCCAATTTCTCGTAATTGTTCCCCCCGATCATGTGTATAATGAAGCCCTACCTTACCCTGTTATGGTAATAGGTGTGGGCACTGTAAGAAGCTTGCGCCAGAGTATGAAAAGCTTGGAAGCAGCTTTAAGAAAGCCAAATCTGTTTTGATCGGAAAGGTCAGTCAGTTCTTCACTGTTCGTTCTATGTCAATTTTTTAATACAATGTGTAAAATCTTTGATGCCCATCATGACTATTACTTTCCCTTGTTACTCGAATTCTCTTTCCCAATTTGTGATGGAGAGTTAATATGGTAATTCTTAATCATATTTTATAGGTTGACTGTGATGAGCACAAGGGCGTATGCAGCAAATATGGAGTCTCTGGGTACCCAACAATTCAATGGTTCCCCAAGGGATCACTCGAACCGAAAAAGTAAGAAAGCTGTTTTATAAATAACACTGAGAAGGTTTGATTTATACTTGATTTCAAAATCTCTTACGTAGGTATGAAGGTCAACGTACAGCAGAAGCCCTTGCCGAATTTGTCAACAGTGAAGCAGGTAGTTGTCCATTCTTGTAAAGTCATCTTATTTTTAAATCCTCACTTGGTTGGTCTGAATTAGACAATGTTCTCCATTTTACACTGTTAATTCGTTCTCCTTGCATTTCACCCTTTGCTGTATTGTTCTGAAGGGTGCCACTATTTACATATGAACACAAAGCTCACGTCCATATGATGGTTCTTATGCCCTTTCCATCTCTTTTCTTAGTGCCAGTATTTACGAAGAATGTCTTACTTGTCATACAGATATTTAGATGCATTTCTAGCGTTTACTCAATAAATTTGTTTCCGGATTCAACTTGTTGTACTATAATTGTCAATCAAAGTTGCAAGAAACCAAATCTTCGGAAGTCCCATGCTGATACGGTAACTTATGGCCTTTGGGGTTTTCTCTATTCATCAACTTCTGTTCATCCAGGAACCAATGCGAAGATAGCTTCAATTCCATCCAGTGTTGTAGTTCTTTCACCTGATAATTTCAATGAGATTGTTCTAGATGCAAATAAGGATGTGCTGGTTGAGTATTACGCACCCTGGTATTTAACTTTCTGTCCTTTCTTCGAGTTATTTTAGCATGATTTCAAAGTATCTGATCAATTCTATCTTTCAGGTGTGGCCACTGCAAGAGCCTTGCTCCGGTAAGTAGTTTTCTTCTTAGGCTTTTGCTGGCAAATTATCATGAATAATTAATAATTTAATATCATATTATATAATCCCTCTACAGATATATGAGAAGGTGGCAACGGCATTTAAATTGGAAGATGGCGTAGTAATTGCTAACTTAGATGCTGACAAATATCGTGATCTATCTGGAAAGTAAGTTTAATTTGCTGTGGGGTTTGTCTCTTAATGATTTCTCTAAGTTATTGTTAAAGGTCGGTTATCTTTTGTATTTTTACAGGTATGGCATAAGTGGTTTCCCTACACTTAAATTCTTCCCAAAAGACAACAAGGATGGTGAAGACTACGACGGTGGCAGAGATGTTGATGACTTTGTTAATTTCATTAATTTAAAGAGTGGGACCAATCGTGATTCCAAGGGTCAGCTTACAGTAAATGTTAGCAAGCAACCAAACCCAACGATGTTTAAATTTTATTTTCTTCTTTTATGTTAATACTCAAATATGTGATTTTTCTTGTAGGCTGGTCTAGTTGCTAGTTTAGAATCATTGGTGAAGGAGTTCATAGCTGCTAGTCATGGAGAGAAAAAGAATGTTGTTGCCAAGATGGAAGAGGAAGCTGGAAAGCTTAGTGGATCTGATGCAAGGTACGCAATTTTTGTTTGATTTTTTCATTCGGTTTCTTAAGAACAATAGCGTCTATAATGATTCAAAAAGCGTTGTATGGTTTATAGTTTTATATTCTATGCGTGTCCAGAAACTTACTGCAGGATTATGGTGAAATTATTAATCATAGTTGTTGATTACTCTGCTGCAGGCATGGAAAGATATACGTGAAATCTGCTAAGAAGTGTCTGGAGAAAGGTGATGGTTATGCTAAGTCTGAGATTGAGAGGATTCAGCGCATACTCGATAAGGTAAGTCTAAGTTTTACAAAGACCTTATGTTTACAATGTTTTTTCTATGCTATGAATAAAGCCCTGTTTGGGGTTTTTGTCCTAAAATCTGTGGGGTCGTGCTATACTTATATATGGCTAATCACTAGATCTTAACTGCTGTCGAGAGGTTTATTTTAGAATATAGCACTAGTAGTCTTATGTTATTTACTTCCAAGGGTTATTTTGTTTTAAAACCATTAATGCATATATATTACTTTTTTAATTATATATATAAACTAGAGAAAAATATTGGAATCAAGTAGATTGGTTGGTAGGATTTGGGTGAGAATAATTTTACTCAAGTGATTTTGAGCTCAATTTAAATAAATAGAATCTCACCTCAAATCTCACCTCGGTTGAGAGGAGAACAAAGCATTTTTTATTAAGGGTGTGGAAACATCTCCATAGCAAATATATTTTAAACCTTCAAAGAGAAGCCCAAAAGGGAAAGCCCAAAGAAGACAATATTTACTATAGTAGTGAGCTTGACCGTTACAAATGGTAAACCCAAAAAGGAAAGTCCAAAGAAGACAATATTTACTATAGTAGTGGGCTTGACCGTTACAAATGGTAAACCCAAAAAGGAAAGCCCAAAGAAGACAATATTTACTAGTAGTGGGCTTGACCGTTACAAATGGTAAGCCCAAAAAAGACAATATTTACTAGTACTGGGCTTGACTGTTACAAATGGTATTAGAGCCAAACATCAGGCGGTGTGCCGATGCTGGGCCCCGAAGAAGGGTAGATTGTGAAATCCCACATGGATTGTCAATTAGGGAGGAGAATGAAGCATTCTTTATAAGAGTGTGTAAACTTCTCCCTAGTAACGATTTTAAAAACTTTGACGAGAAGTTCGAAAGGAAACGCTCAACGTAAAAATAGCTAAAATCACTCCTAAAACATCTAATTTGATTCACTTACGTGAGTTCAAGCTTTAAATTAATTCAATTGATACCATGCTCAAAGTTTACTCAAGGGCTTTGTATTTCTTTTTTTTTTCCCTTCCCCTTTGCATGTTACAACATTTGGTTCCTATAAATACAAACAAATGCATTTATGAGGGAAAAACATGTGTAGACTGTCGGTATTTGGAGGTGCTGAAATGTATCATAAAGATGTGTTAGTTACTTGTCTGAACATATCTTATCTCAAGACATTCGTAAACTTCAGCTGACAAGTTGCTCTGCCATTTCTTGTGTTTGTCATTTTTGCATGGAACGCAGTCGGTAAGCCCAGCGAAAGCAGACGAGTTCACCTTGAAGAGAAACATTCTATCAAGTTTTGTTCAATCTTCTTCTTAACTTGATCTAAGTTTATGTTTATCCGAATTTTATTACTTACCAACCAAACTCTCACATGGCACTTCATATATTTTTTTTTTGTAGTTTTATTGGCCTCTGAGTTAATTATTGAATAGAGCTCTGTTTTGTTTTCATTCACTTATTTCACTGTTTTAGAGAGAGCAAAGAGACAAATGTGTGGAGACATAATGTCAAAACTTTAGAGACATGCATATGAATGTTCCTGAGAGAGAAATTAAATATCATCAACTTAGAATTTGAAACAAAGATTCTGTGAGAATTTTTTTTTTCCTTTTTTTAAATTGAGATCGCCTTTTTTTTTACCTAAAAATGATTTATAGATTTTTTGTTTTTGGTTGATTATTTATTTAATTCTAATTTTTTGTTGATGAATAAACATTAAAAGTTTATGTGGGCCTCTTTGGATCTTATATATTATATCACAGGTATATATTACATATATTGGAGAATAATTTAGGATTTAAATATATGTGTTTGGATAGGTCAGATAATTAATACCCGAGAGTTACTAATTCATTTCATAATCGTTTTAATTTAACAGGAAAATTAGAATGGGTTACCAGAAAAATCAGAGAAACCAATAGAAAAAAAATCACGTTTATAATAAATTTAGGTGAAATAAGTAAATTTTTTATTACAACTATTTCTTTTGGGAAGGGTTCTTTAAAAAAAAATTAATTTTGGGAAGGGTTCTTTAAAAAAAAATTAATTTTTTTAAATAAAATTATTTTATAAGACAATTGTGAAATAATTAGTAATTTAAAGTGGGTTAGTATAGGTTTTTATAATAAATTCTATATGAATTAAATTACTTTAAAAAAAATATAATTTATATATGATAACCTAAATAGCATTTACGTCAAAATTAGGAATAAAATGGTGAGAAGTATAATAATTTTTTAATAAATACGATAAAATGTTATCAATAAGAGTATAATAATGTAACCAGATGCATAATTATAAAAAGAAATAGTTGAAGTAAATGTCATGCTAAATTCATAGACTATATAATATAATAATTTTGAAAAGCATGTATAGGATTTATTTATAAAATTAATGTATAAAAAAATAGAAATGAATATTATAATAATCGCATGATTTTAGTTACAGAGAGTTCAGTCCTGACTGTGAGTCAAAACCCCTTTTTACTTCGGTCTCTTTTTCTAGGTTTACTATAAAACCTCCAAAAACATACAAACGAACAAACAAAGCCGAACCTCCACCACCTTCTTCTTCTTCTTCTTCTTCTTCTTCTTCTTCTTCTTCTTCTTCTTCTTCTTCTTCTTCAACCGTTCCTGCTCAGGCGACATTACCGCCAACGACTTGTATTCCTCTCGATTTCTTCACAATGAAGTATGTTTTGGTCACTGGCGGCGTCGTTAGTGGACTCGGCAAAGGCGTCACCGCCAGTAGTATCGGTCTCGTTCTCAAAGCCTGTGGCCTGCGAGTCACCTCCATTAAAATAGGTTTTCTTCTCTTTTCCTTTTCTATTTGCTTTTTGTTATCGCTGGAGAACCACATTTTCTATGCTCTGATACTCTGTTCTTCGCCTGCTGTTTTTGAGTCCTGCTGCATTATGTTCCCGGAACTGCATAATGTTGTCGTTCTTTTAATGAGGTTTCTCCTCTGCGTACTCGTTTGCTTACTCTGCATGTTTTGGATTCCGTTTATTTGATTTTGATCAGTGTCCTTTTTTGGATTTTGGAAAATTTTCAAGTGATAGTGTTCTCTTAGACTGAAGATTAGTTCGTCATGGTGACATCTTGATGACGAGTCTTTTACCTACTTTTTTTTGTTTTTTTTTAGCGTAGTTTCTTTTCCATTTCTTTGATTGCTTCTCATTGCCGTGGTGATGATGTGCATGTCTGCTTCAGTGTCGTCCATAGGAAAGTCGATTATGGTTCGACTTCTTGTATGCGTGTGAATTGGTCCTCAATGCTTTGTTGCGTTTGAATTTGCAGATCCGTACTTGAATATGGATGCTGGTACCATGTCTCCTTTTGAACACGGGGAAGTTTTTGTTCTTGATGATAGCGGTGAGGTATCCTCCTTTCTAGCCATACAAAAACAACACTGCGTATTTCCATTTGAGACACGGTGTAAACTTGATTGTGTAGATTTGCCTCGCTGCATGTATTGGTTTCAGTTGTAGTAGAGGTATGATTGTACTTAAGTAATTCACAGGCTATTTACTTGTTTTCAAATTTCAGGTTGATTTAGACCTGGGAAACTATGAACGTTTCCTAGATATAACGTTGACAAGAGAGAACAATATTACTGCAGGAAAAATATATCAGGTTATTGGAATGATTTTTGTTTCAAGTTGTAAGTATCTATTAAGAATTCTATAGCTTGCTAATTGATTCCATCCATGCAAATGTATTAGTCTGTTCTCGAGAAGGAGCGAAGAGGTGATTACCTTGGGAAGACCGTTCAGGCAATGCTTCTTTTGTATTATGCTTCCTTATTAGTCTGCTCTGAACCTTTTCATACTAGTTATTTTTCATTATTATTTATGTTATTTATTTGAATTCAGGTAGTTCCACACATCTCCGATGCCATTAAAAACCACATTGAGTCAGTAGCTACCATTCCCATGGATGGCCAAGAGGGCCCTGCTGATGTCTGCGTGATAGAATTGGGAGGGACTGTTGGTAACCTAACATCTACATTTGTCAGACATTTCCCCAGTAGAATTTTGATAATTTATGTTTTGTTTCATGAAATAAAATTTTAGTTGTCTTCTTAAGGTGACATTGAATCAATGCCGTTTATTGAAGCTTTGCGACAACTGTCCTTTTCAGTTGGTAAGTTCATACTTTCTGTTCGATAACCACTTGAGGTGGCCATATATAATTCTTATATGCAATAGTTGTAGATCACTGCTTGTAGATCACGCTCTTACAAGCAATAGGTGTGAATCATCTCACCTTTTAATTGGGTTGTTAGGTCCAGACAATTTCTGCCTTATCCACGTGAGCTTAATACCAGTATTGGGAGTTGTTGGAGAGCAAGTAATAATCTATCTTTATATACTGTACAAATAGTTTGTATATAATTTATGCTCTGTGAGCAGTTATTTATGCCGGTGGTAAATTTTTCTTTCACCATTCTTTGATGAATGTAGTTCTCACTATTTGTTTTAAAACACAGAAAACAAAGCCTACACAACTCAGTGTTCGAGAACTCAGAGCTTTAGGCTTAACTCCACATCTGCTAGCGTGCCGATCTGCTCAGGTACATTTTCTTTTCTTCCTTTGACATCATAGTATGGGTTGACAATGATCACCTTAGTTCATTTAGTTTTTTTCCTGCCCTGCTATTGCACGGACCTGCTGGTTTGGTTATATGTCCTATGGTTTTGTGTTGTCTTTGGTAGTTATTTAGTTAATATTTAATTGGAGTATGACCCCATTCTAATTGCTCCGTAATTTTTATTAAATGTAAAATTTTTGCCTTCACATTCATTACATACAATAGTTTTGATATTTCAAGGTGTCTTAAGGTTTTTCTTTTGAATTTTATGTAGCCTATACTGGACAATACGAAAGAGAAGCTTTCTCAGTTTTGCCATGTTCCAGTGAGTTGTTAATTGAAATTTTTATTTTTGTATGGATTTATGTTTTCACAATTTTACTTATTTTATGCACATAACCTTTTTGAATTTTATCCAGGCCTGTAATATTCTGAATATCCATGATGTCCCAAACATCTGGCATATTCCACTTTTGCTTACGGTATGTATGTATGTATTTATGCATATGGATATTTGTATGCAGATTTTGCTTTTCTTCCTTTGTTTATGGCTTAATTGTTCATTGGAAATGTCACTTACTGTTTCTTGGGTTTGTTTTTGACACAGAACCAGAATGCTCATCATTCAATTCTCAAACAACTCAACTTGGTCAGGTAATTTTCTTAGATCTCTTTTCTGTAAAGCTGTCATTACACCTTCAGATTGTGTCTTGCGAGAACAAATCAACTTGAGTTTATTCCTCTTAAGAATTCAATTGTCAATTTTTGAAGCTACCCATTATGGCATGTAATTGCTTTTTGAAGTGTCTATCAAATAGCCACAAATTTTGGGTTTATATGTTCTTCATGAATTCTGCCTCACTCCACTTAAGCTCTTTGTGCATCTCTCCATCTAGACAGATGAGGAACTTATTGCCTTATAGTGTATGTTGCCCTTCGAAGACATTACATGAATTAAGTAGCTTAGGAGAAATGCTCTAAAAGAAAATGTTTGATCCATCAAATAAAAGTTGTTTAAGATTTGTAGAAGCAGCTTAAATTTTACCTTGGTTAAATATGCTGACAACTATTATTTATGTTTTGTCCTAGGATTGCCACTGCTCCTGATTTGCGTGACTGGACAAATATGGCTGCAACTTATGACAATCTCACAAATTCAGTTAAGTCTAATTTATGCTGTAATTTATGTATGTCTACATGTTTTCTGTGAACTCTAAGATAATCAAACTTTTGGTTTTCTTCTAGGTGAAAATTGCGATGGTTGGGAAGTACGTTGGTTTGGCAGATTCATACCTTTCTGTTGTGAAGGTGCTATTCTAGTACTTCCAGAAAGAAATCAACTTTTCTAATTTCTACATGCATAAATGTGGCCTGTGTCTAAGTTTCAAAAGTTGTAAGGTTTTATTCAATCTTTCTTGTTGTAACTGCAAAATGAGTATTGTTTCATTTATTTGAAGTTTGGTTAATTTCTAGCTATTAATAACAAGAAACCATTGTATCTTTTTGCTTTTGTGCGAACGTTGGGATCCACATCAATTTTGCAGGCCCTTCTTCATGCATGCGTTGCATGTTCTTTGAAGCCGTCAATAGATTGGATTGCGGCTACTGACCTTGAGGATGAAAGTTCCAAATTGGTATTTTTTTTTTACATGGCATCACAAATACTCCTTATTAGTTCAGAATTCCATCATTTAAATAATGCACTGTTCTTTTGTAGAAACCGGAAGCACATGCTGCTGCGTGGGAGACCCTGAGGGTAGGACTTTCCTCCATGTGTACTGTTTTTTACTAGCATACATGTCAACTATAACTTTTTTTTAGTGATCGTGGGGATTTTTTTTTTTTTTTTTTTTTTCAATTTTCTGAAG